AAGGCGGGGGGGTGGGGGGTGGGGGGGATTTGGGTTTTGTCCCCGCTAAGCATGGATGGCCATAGGTGCTGGCCAGGACTGTGGTGCAGGTGAACATATTCTCCAATTAACAGGAACTGAAACAGACGCTCCAACTGTTTCTGAAGCATAGCTCCGAGGCCTTGTCCCCAGGAGGGTGGTAGGCACAAGCACCAGAAGGAGTCACCAAGCTCCAGGAAACCCCCAGTAATGCTTGCTGAATCACCTGGGGGGTAGGAAAACATATTCTCTTGTGGGGTGGAGATAGGAGGATCGGGAGTTCAAGGCCAGCCAGCCTCAGCTACACAGCAAGCTTGAGCCCAGTCTGGGCTACATGAGATACTGTCTCAACAACAAGTGTTATGGGAAAATTCTTGGGGCAGCCAAGAGATCAAGCATTCACCCAGGAGAGAGTTGCAGAGCTTGTTTATTTTTTTCTTGAATGAGGTCCTAGAAGCAACTAAAACTTCAAGATTTTGAGGACCTCGAACAGAAGTATAGATGGGGATTAAAGGGGCATTTTTACACCATCATTCTAAGGCTGGCACCTGGGCCCTATACCTCTTTTCTTGGTGGACCATGTTATCTTGGAAAAATTCCTTCCTGAGTTCACTGGGTCATCATAACTTACAAAGTAGATATCCCAGATGTAGGTCAGGACACCCTCCACCTTTTGATCTGTAGCTCGGCCAGGCTAATTGGACTAGGAATCGGTCAAGTAGTCATCGCAGTTTACCAAAACAGATCTCACTAGCAGAAATTTAGATATCTGTCATGTTTGATCTACACTTTTCTTGGACTAGTTGGACCAGGTGCCTCATTAAACCATTTGGAGAATTTTCCGCTGTCTTAGTTTCACATTGGTATCAGTAGTTGGGCATGGTGAGTGGACAGCATCACAGAGTCAAGATATTACAGAGTAATAAAAACACCACCGAGGAGTAAAGCTTCACAGGGTGGAATTTCAAGATGCCTACCTAGTAAGCAAAAAGAGGAAACCTCAAATGTCCTAAGCTTATCAGGACTTTGTATAAGAATACAGTTCATTAGAAGACTATGACTTTTCCTTATCTCAACAAAATCAAAAGCCCCCAAACCTTAGCTCTGCATTTCAACCAGGTCTTCAAGCATGTGTGTGTATGTGAATGTGTGCACCTGTGTGCTGGGTCCTGGGCATTAGGCCAAACCCTTCCATGGTAAATGTCCCCTAACGCCCACCCACCTAGCTCCAAGGGGAGTCACTCTCCTGTACCTCTGTTCTGTTCTTTTATTTTCTTTCCTTTTTCCTTTAAAACACGATTTATTGTGTGTGTGTGTGTGTGTGTGTGTGTGTGTGTGTGTGTGTTTGTGAGGGGTGGGTGCACACAGTGCATGTGTGGAGGTCAGAGAAAACCCGTGAGTGGGTCTCAGGTCGGCAGGCTTGATGGCAAGTACCCGACTTGTCCTCCCTCCCAGTGAGACTTCTTTTGCTGTGATACAACATTGACCAAAAGCAATTTGGGGAGGAAAGGGTTTACAGTTCGTCATGGAGGGAAGCCAGGGCCGAAGCTCAGGACAGGGACCTGGAGGCAGGAACTGAAGCCGGGAAGAGTGCAGCTCACTGGCCTGAGCTCAGCCTGCTTTTTCATACAACCCAGGACCCCTGCCCAGGGGTAGCACCGCCCACAGTGGGCCGGAGCCTCCCACATCACTCATCAATCAAGAAGATGCCTCACAGACATTCCCAATTTGCTAGAGGACGCTCCTCAATTAAGGCTCCCTCTCCCCAGGTGTGTCAAGTTGACAACTGATGCTTCCAATTTATGTATGTTTGTATGTTCAGGTGCATGTATGTGTGTGTGCATAGAGACCAGAAGGCAACCTCGGGTATCATCCAAAGCGGAAACACTATCCACCTGCTTTGAGAAAAGGTGTCTCTGGCCAGCCTGCAAACCCCAGGGACGCCCCTGTGTCTACCTTTTCTACCACTGGGATTGCAGGCATGTGCTACCACCCTGAGCATTTTTACATACACTCAGGGGGTCACACGCAGGTCATCATGTTTACAATGCCAGTGCTTTACCAACTGAGCTATCTCCCCAGCCCCTCCTCTGTACCTCGTGATGCCTGAGACAGCTTGTCCAAGATCTGAGTGAGTCTGCTGGAACAGTGGCCACTCTTCCCCTGGGCCCCACAGAGCAAGACCGGAGCCCCAGGGGACATGGCTGTGCCATTTGGAGCCTGGGGCGTGACCAGCCCAGCTCATCCGCCCTCACTTACAGCCAGAGGTGAAGACGTCCATCAGCTTGTTCATGTCCTACGTGCACACCACGGTCAACGAGATGTCCAAAGTGTACCTGGCAACCGAGAGGCGCTACAACTACACCACGCCCAAGACCTTTCTCGAGCAGATCAAACTCTACCAGAGCCTGCTGGCCAAGAAGAGGATGGAGCTGGTTGCCAAAATCGAACGTCTGGAGAACGGCCTGATGAAGCTACAAAGCACGGCCTCTCAGGTAGGAGCCCAGGGTGTGCTCACGCACCCACCCGTGTATCACAGGCTTCTGCAGAGACAGTCCTAAGTGGGGCTGAGCTTGAACCACAGTGGGATGAGCCTGACTCCTACACGGCCTAATAGGAAACAGCAAGGCAAAATGCTCCTATAATGTCAGTGTTTAGAGTGAGTGCTTCACATGGGTGATGTGCTGTGCCCTACGTCCAGGGAGGCTTGCTTCTCACGTCCAAGGCAGCCAGTGAAAACATGACCATTTCTGTACACTGTTCACACCCAGTACCAGAAGCTTCTGCAGATCTCTCTTTCACGCTGCACTGTTTCTGCCTGGTTTTAAATACGCTCCACGGTGGGTCTGTCTACTTCGTCTCCGTAGCCCACTGCCCATATGTCCCCAGGAGCCCAGCCTCCTCCTCCTCCCTGCCCAGGTTGGGCCAAGCTGGGCCTTGTGCCAGCTTCTGGGAGCTTTTGATCCCTGCTCCCTCCCACTCTTCCACTGATCTGCAAGGCCTTGGAACAGCTCTACCCCTCAAGACTCACACATTTCTCAGTTGACAAGTTTTTATGGGAGTCTCACTTTGGGGTCTCAACAGTTAAGAGCACTGGCTGCTCTTGCAGAAGACCCAGGTTCAAATCCCAGCATACACATGGTGGCTAACAATTGTCCATCCAAAACTCTAGTTTTAGTTCCTGGGGATCTGACAATTCTCTTCTGGCCTCTTTGAGCATTGTATGACATGGATCCACTTACACACACGCAGGCAACATACTCATACACATAAAATAAATACATAAAAAGTTTTTTTAAAAAAATAAAAGAGTCTCACTTTGTAGCCCTGTCAGGCATGGAACTTATTATGTAGACCATTCTGGCCTTGAACTTGCAGCAAATCTTCTCACCCGTGCCTCTGGGGTACTTGGATTACAGACTTGTGCTGCCTACCCCCCAACACCACCACCATACGCATGCATGCGCACACACACACACATACACATACACACAAAGTTCAGTTGATGTTTATCTGGTCACCTTGGTTACCAACCCCTGGAGCACCAGGAATATGTCTTAGCCATGTGGCCCTGTGTATACACTTGGTGCTCAATATAAACTTACCTGTGGGATATTAAAATGTCTCCAAAATGAGTCACTGAGAATCAGAAGCCTCGGAGGCCCTGCAGTTCTCCGTCTGAGGTTGGCATCCCCGGCACCCACCTGGGGACGGCAGCACATGTTGGCCTCTGCTCACATCTGCCCATCTCCTGGCTCCCCCCTCCCTAGGTGGATGATTTGAAGGCCAAGCTGGCGGTTCAGGAGGCAGAGCTGAAACAGAAGAATGAGAACACAGACAAATTGATCCAAGTGGTAGGTGTGGAGACCGAGAAGGTCAGCAAAGAGAAAGCCATCGCCGATGAGGAGGAGATCAAGGTGGAGGTCATCAATAAGGTGGGCCTTGAGTCCGCTGGGGAATGCTACCCACAGCCATGGTTCATGCTGAAACATTAGTACCAGGAAAAGCTTCCCAACCCAGGGGGCCTGGGGAAGGAGCACCTTCCCGCAGGTGCAGTCTGGGCTCAGAAGAGGGCTCTCCTCAGAGGATGCCCGCACCTAGCTGAGCTCTTCACAGCTCAGAGTCCTCCATCGCAGTATCACCAGGAGCTCGTGAGAAATGAGGTGCCTGGCCCAGCTCAGCCTGGCTCTGCCGAATGGCAATACGTCACCTGCTCCGTTATCATAGCTGCTGGTTGTCTTGTGCTGTTGTGTTCTGGTAGACCAAGGGACTGGCTGTAGGATCTCGCATGTGCTAGGCAAGTGCTCTACCATGAAGTCCTATCCCCAACCTCTTTTTCCTTTTTCAAAAAATATTTTTTTCATTTATTATTTCTATTTGATGTGTATGAGTATATTGCCTGCGTGTGTGTAGATGGAGCCTACCACTCTCCTGTCACCCAGTTGCTGCACCTGTGTGAAGATGCCAAGCCCCTCTCTGGTCTCTGAGCTTCACCAGAAGACGAAGGGTGCTTTCCAACCAAGACAGCAAAGGAATACACACGTGAATGAGTGAATACTTGCATGCGTGCATGAGTGAACACTGATGTGCTCACATGAGTGAGTGAACACTCACATGTGACTATGAGGGACAAGTGGCATGTTCTGACATGCCCCGTTTTGGAAGGATCAACAATGAAGACCTCAAAATGAAGGGGTAGGACAGGACTGGCATTTCCCTTTAGTTCTAGAAGCCGGAGCCAATCAAGGGACCTAATCCCAAGTTTCCCAGTGTGTGCTCAGTTTCATCTAAGAGAAAAAGGCAGGGAACAAGGAGACGGGGCAGAGAGGTGGGTATGTGAGTGAGCACATACAGGAGGACACTGGTGATCGGGGCAGACAGCAAAGGCAACAGCTGCATGGTATCTGGTGGCAAGAACTCAGAGCCACTGGGGCTTAGCTGTGGCTGGGAGGACGGCTCACCTCATTCTCCACTCTCCTTCCTGCCTCCCTCCAATGGATGGATGGATGGGTGGATAGATGGATAAGTACATGGGTGGATTGGTAGATAGATAGGTGGGTGGCTGAATGGATGGGTGAATAGATGACGGGATGAATGGATGGATACTTGGATAGATGGGTACATGGATAGGTGGGTGAATGAATAGATGGGTGTATATGTGGATGGATGCATGGATAAGTATGTGGATGGATGAATGGACAGGTGGATATGGATAAGTGGATGGGTGGATAAGTGGATGGATGGTAGATGGATGGATAGATGGATGGGTGGATGGATGGATAAGTAAGTACTTGGATGGATGGATACATGGATGGATGGGTGAATGTATAGAAGGGTAGATAAGTAGATGGATGGATGGGTGGGTGGGTGGATGGGTGAGAGCATGGATGGATGGATGGATGGATGGATGGATAATGGATGGGTGGGTAAATGAATGGAAGGGTGGATAAGTGGATGGAGGGGTGGATGGGTGGATAGGTGGATGGGTGGATAGATGGATGGATGGGTGAGAGTATGGATGGATGGATGGATGGATGGATGGATGGATGGGTGGATGGGTGAGAGGATGGATGGGTGGGTGGGTGGATGGAGGGGTGGATGGGTGGATGGATGGATGGGTGGGTGGATGGGTGGATGGGTGGATGGATGGGTGGATAGATGGATGGATGGGTGGGTGGATGGGTGGATAGATGGATGGATGGGTGGGTGGATGGGTGGGTGGATGGATGGATGGATGGACGGATGAGTGGACGGAGAGTGGATGGATGGGTGAGTGGATGGATGGATGGGTGGGTGGATGGATGGGTGGGTGGGTGGATGAGTGGGTGAATAGATAGATGGGTGGGTAGATGGATGGATGGATGGGTGGATAGGTGGATGAGTGGATAGATGAGTGGATGGATGGATGAGTGGATGGGTGGATGGATGGGTGGGTGGATGAGTACATGGGTGGGCAAACAGATAAATGTGTGGGTAGGCAGATGAATTAATGGGTGGGTGTTTCCTATCCTGGTAACACGCACACAAGCGCACACACACACACAATCACTGGGGTATGTTCAGCTTCACCTTTCTCTACATGAAACCCCTTTCTTTAGACTAAGAAGGAGGATCAGTGAGGAGAGAACTGATTTCCAAAAGTTGTCCTCTGATCTCCACATGCATCTGCACCTGTGTACATGCACATACACACACAAACGATTTGGATGGGTGGGTGGGTGGATGGATGGGTGGGTGGATGGATGGATGGATAGTTGGGTGGATGGATGGGTGGGTGGGTGGATGGATGGACAGATAGGCCTACACTGAGCTTTCCTCTTTGCCTTTCTTGTAGAATGTTACTGAGAAACAGAAGGCTTGTGAAACAGACCTGGCCAAGGCAGAGCCGGCCCTCTTGGCTGCGCAGGAGGCTCTGAATACTCTGAACAAGGTGACACTGGGAGCAGGAAGGAAAAGAGAGGATGGGCCGAGTGGATGAGTGCTGACCCTCATGCGCTTGTCCCTGCAGAACAACCTGACTGAGCTAAAGTCCTTCGGCTCTCCACCTGACGCTGTAGTCAACGTCACGGCTGCTGTCATGATCCTGACTGCGCCTGGTGGCAAGATCCCCAAAGATAAGAGCTGGAAGGCTGCAAAGATCATGATGGGCAAGGTGGACACGTTCCTGGACTCGCTCAGGAGGTTCGACAAGGAGCACATCCCCGAGGACTGCCTGAAGGCCTTCAAGTGAGCAGTGGGCTGGGTGCCTCCGAAGGGTGAGGCGTGGCTCTGTTCCCAGGGAGCCAGCCCTGTCACCTCTGTCTCCCCCATGAGAAGGGAGCTGGGCCAGATGCAAAGACCTGTGGCTGCACATCCAAACGTAGCTGAAACGCACAGCTGGCACGCTGAGCAGGGGAAGGATCTGGAACCACAGGACCAGGGAGAGGCCAGCCCCACTCAGAGGCCTGTCCCTGCCAGAACAGCTGGCCACACATGCATACATACACACATGAATACAGAACACATATGCACGCATTAATACAACACACACCTGCCCACACGTGTCCCAGAGTGTGCAAGTTAATGCTCATATCACCCACAGGCACATGGGCTCAGGATGCAGCGAGTACTCACTGGGGTGCTGTAGTGTAGTGTGCAGTCCCCTGTGAGGGTTTCTCTTCTGCTGGGAGGCCTGCAGGGGGCTTTCTGTGGGTTCTGCCGGGACTTGGGATGGTGTCGTGGAGACCCCACCCCCATTTTGTGAACACTCCAGCCCTTTGTGTCCTTGACTAGCACCCCCTGACAACCCATCTTCAGGGGCTACCTGCCCCTTGCTGGGAAAGAGGGTCACACTGAGACCCCCCAGTATCTACAGCCCCTACTTACGAAGGAAACAGCTCAAATACTAAAACTATTTGATCAATATGGAATAATTTAAGGCACAAGAAAAGTAAGCTTTGGATCTGCAAGATGGCTCAGCAGGTAAAGGCCCTTGCCACCCAGCATGACAACCTGAATTCAATCCCCAAGACTCACATGGTAAAAGGAGAGAACTGATTCCTGCAGCTCATCACCTGACCTCCACATGCGTGTGTGTGTGTGTGTGTGTGTGTGTGTGCGCGCGCGCGCGCACACAAGTGAAAAAATGTAATAGAAATTTTTGAAAATAATAAAATCATGGTTGGCCCACCACAGGGTGTACCACTCCCAATGTTTGGTTAGAATGGAGAGG